CATTATTTTTCTAATAATTCAACGGCCTGAAGTCAATTATTCTGCTTATACTACAGTTACCACACATCGAAACGTTGTTCAGATGATGCATTTCAAGACGTTTGTCAAGTTTTTGTCATTAACACGCTCTTGTATGTAGGACTAATTTCTTACTTAATTTCTCTTAATCCCATGCCTCCGTTGCTAATTCCAAAACGTAATTTTTGGGGACACACTTACGACTTGCTGAAACATTCGAAGACTGACTGTTTCCATCGACTGTAGCAAGTCTTAAACACAGTAAGTGTGTCCCCGGCTTTATGCAGTTATTCCTGCAATGCATTAGAGAGAGAGAGAGAGAGAGAGAGAGAGAGAGAGAGAGAGAGAGAGAGAGAGAGAGAGAGAGAGAGAGAGAGAGAGAGAGAGATGTTGCAATAATAAGACAGAAAAGCATGTGCGTCAATATTATTATTTATTTATTTATGAATTCAATTAGTTTAAATTATTTTGTTCATTCTTTCTTTTAATTTTTTCTATTATTGACAGTAGACTAAGCAAATAAATGCAACACAAAGCCCTTTTAACAAGTAGGCCTATCTATAATTATTTATCTGTTATATTATCTGGAATAATTACGAAAACCTGTGCAGCAGGACTATCAATTTATTCATATATTCAGCAGGGGCGGAGTGGGGCCAAAAAATCTACCGGGACATTTTGTAGACCACCGGCCTAGGGGGTATTTTTTGGTAATTTTTTTTTTTTTTTGCAAAAACCCTTGCAAAATTATTTTAAATAGATTAAGAAAGCCACCACAACTGGTCACATCTATAGTTAGATTGATTTGTTTAGATCCAGTGAAGTCGTGTCCCACCACATTTTCTCAGGATCGATTGTCCCCCACACCACCACTTTTTGAAACAGTGAGGCACAGATATACTAATACAAATAAATAAAACATCTCCAGTCAACTAGCAGACCATTCATTTAGTTCGCTATTACTGTAAATAAGAGGTCTAGCGCTAAAATGTGTGTTTTTTTTTTTTTAAATCAAGCTGAGTGCTCGTTGCCGCTTCGGACCGGCTGTCATGCAGTGTTCTCTTGGGGCGAGGCGCGCGCAGTCTTCACTCGGACGCGCGCTTCAATGTATAGCTGTTGCAAAAACTCTCTATTCATTCCGGTGAAATCACAAAATAAAATGCAGTTAATGCACACAAACGTGTCCCTGCTTGATATAGACTGTAACCACTTATGAACATATTCAGTTTTGATGAGAAAAAAAACTATACGGGTGCGGATTAGAACCCGTAACCCCTGACACGCTTGGCAAAATACCTACCATTAGACTAGACCATTTAAAAACTGAAGCGGCGGATCGATTTATTTATTGACGGGTTGAGAGAGGCTGCACAGTTTGACCAGCGGGCAGCGGCCGCACACCAGGCCGCCGGATGGTGTTGCTAAGAACTTGCAATGTATAACTATTATCAGACTCGAAACACTACCGGCCCACCGGGAAAAATCCCGACTCTTCCGATTGCCACTCCGCCCCTGATATTCAGTATAATTTTCTATTGATTATAGATAGGACTATATACTTTATTTATTAAAATTAAACTGCATGTGTCCATTGATTGTGATGTTAGACATCGAAAATTGCAGATCAAGCGCATGGGGCTGCATGTTTTTCCTTGTTATGAATTGTATCCTATTTTCCGTTATTATAGTTAACTACACGCAGTGATATGGAACTGTAATTTTCTTTTTTTTTCTTTTTTTTTCTTTTTTTTTATCAGGGACAATGCACAAAGTACATTAATCTTTCGAAAAGATGTTTTGTGCCAGAGTTAGCCGAAGCTAGTTTTCATCCGCAGTCCCCGGGCAGGTGCACATACTTTTTAAAAACATTACATTACAAAACCACTATCAATATACTATCAGATGTTCAAAATGAGAGAACATAATCAAAAGACCATCTCTACCCATAATATATACATTAAATGTGCTGATGCTGACACAGCTGGTTCTCAAGGATATATTTTAAGTGTTGAGAAAAATGGTTCAGATCTATAGACAGCTTTAAACTGTTGGGGAGTTGATTCCATTGTTTAATGCGGTCAAACCTGCCTGGAACTACTTTAGCAGAGCGTTTCCCTGAAAATAATTGCAGCCCTTAGAACATTCTCAACCAATCAGAATCAAGCATTCAACAGCCCTGTAGTATAAGTAGAGAATAAAACATGTGCTGCAGCACCCCCTGTTGGAAAATGCAGACATTACAGCACTCTCTGACAGATGCAAAACATTAATTATTAAAATAACGCAAAGCATCATTGTCAACTGACGTCACGTAGCCTACTGTAGCTTAGCTAGTGTACACGCTGTGCCCTGTCAGCCTGTGGACCGTTTTAATTATGCGCAGGACCGGCACGTCCATATAGGCGATCTAGGCAATCGCTTAGAGCGGCACTATTGTAAGGGCGGCAAAATGTGTGCCAACCAGGAATGAACAATTCACAAAATAGGCTATGCCTAGCTAATAAGAAGAGCTAAGTTATTGTTAGAATACAGCTGGATTTTCAGCACGCTGTCAGCACGCTGTAGCTGGTAGTCAATATCGGTCTATCATTTTATAGATAGATAGATACATATACAGACATACATGTGTGTATGTATATATATATATATATATTTTTTTTTTATAGATAGTGTATATAGATGAATGAAATGTTATACTGTTAATGACAAACTCTTTCTAATGAGGCGTAAATAAAATCACATAATTAAGCATTTACAGTCGTGCGCAGAATTAATGGCATCCCTATGATCAAAACTGGCTGATCAAAAATGGCCAGAAATCGAACCTTTCATTGAAGTAAAAGAATTGAAAGTGGGGGGGAAATAAATGTTTTTTCTCCAAAACACGTTGGCCACAATTATTGGCATCCTTTTATTAGATACTTTTTGCAATCTCCTTTTGCCAAGAGAACAGCTCTGAGTCTTCTCCTGTAATGCCGGATGAGTTTGGAGAACAGCTGACCTGAGATCAGAGACCGTTCCTCTAACAGCATCTCTCCAGATCCTGCAGATTCCCAGATCCATGTTGGTGCTTCTTCTCTCCAGTTCTGCACTCATCAGGTCTGGGACTGGGACGGTCATGGCAGAAGCTTCATTTTGTGCTCCGTAACACATTTTTGTGTTGATTTTGATGTTTGCTTTGGATCGTTGTCCTGATGGAAGATCCAACCACGGCCCATTATAAGATTTATAGCAGAAGGCGTCAGGTTTTGATTTTTTATCTGTTGATATTTGATAGAACCCACAATGCCATGAATCTGAACAAGAAGTCCAGGACCTCCAGCAGAAAAATATGCCCACAACATTAAAGATCCAACGATATATTAGATTTTACACATGGGGGACTTTTTATCCTTGTGTGCACCGAACCCACCTCAGAAGCCTGAGCCGTGTGAAGATCCAGCCGTGTCTGACAACTGAATACGCTGGAGTTTGTTTTTGGACGAGCGAGGAGGATTGTTCTGCAAACCCTCCCAAACAACATGTGGTGATGTAGGGGCTGTTTGATTTTTTTTAATTATTTTTTTTATAGGCTTTTTGACCCCAAGACTCAACTAATCTCTGCAATATAGACACACGTCCTCTTCTGGCAGATTCCTAACATCTTTAGTTGAACTTCTTAATTATTGTCCTGATGGTCAAAATGGGGATTTTCAATTCTTTAGCTATATTCTGACGGCCACTTTCTATACTTTGATGCTCAACAATCTTTTGCTGCACATCAGAACTATATTCTTTGGTTTTACTCAATGATTAAGGGAATTTGGCCTTTGTGTTTCCTCATATTTAAACTCCTGTGAAACAAGAAGTCATAGCTAGACACTTTCATGTTCCTTTCATGTTCATGTTCCTAGGTTAGAAATATTGATGGTAATATACTTCAGTGATATATTACTTATAAAAAAATCTAGGGGTGCTAATAATTGTGGCCAATGTGTTTTGGAGAAAAACATGTATCCCCCCCATTTGCAAGAGCACTGGGGACAAAAGAATAAACCATGCAGATTTATTTTTACAGCCTTATTTTGTTTTTCCAAACTGTTTGGAGCAATTTGTTATGTTTTTGTAATTTTTGTATATTTGTAATTTTGAAATATAACATTAAAGAGTATATTTGATGTGATGAATTGCTCTGTCATTTATCAGATTTACCAATTGTTATAATTTCAATTTGTGCTGGTTAATTATGAACAATTATGAATAATTATATGGTCAAATTGGGGGGCGGGGCTACATTAGAGCTCCTCCCCTATCCGCATGTGATCTCACTCCAAGGTTTTGATAAAACTTGAGAACCCTGTAAATATTTTCACGTTTTGATCTATGACATAAAACACACCAGTTATAACCTGCTTGTGGTTTTTTAAACTCTATTGTGTCTGCTTGTGTTTTTTTTTTAAAACTTTATATAGGCTTCAAAATGTATACATTTTGGATTAACTTGTAAAGATTATCTTGATAGACAAAACGTGTAAGGGTCACGACTCTGTTAAACACAGATCTTATTTTTTGCGATTTTCCAAAAGTCTATGGGGAAAATGCATAGCTTCCGCTAACTTCCGAGTTGTCCTACAAAGTGACGTCATAACTTCGGCACTGTAGTTCGAACAGCTATTTTGTATTCTATATTTTTTGTATTCTATATTTTAATTATATGTAACTTATAATTATATTTAGTTTCAAGAGATGTTTATCTGTAAAACGGAATCCGCCGTTTTCCACTGGATCAGATTTTCATGACTTTTATTTTGACAGTGTCGCCACGTCCCTGAAGCTTCTCCCTGACCGGAAGTCACGCTGATGCGCATGCTCACAGCTTCCGCTCTTCCGTTCTGCTGTGCGCGTGAGTGTCAGATTCCGATTATTAGTAAACTTATTGATTATTGTAATATCAGTCTGTAACATCGACGCCTTCAGCCGCAGCTGGACACGAGCACAGCGCTGAACATGATAAAAGCCATTCTGATATTTAATAATCATGGCAAACCTCGACTGTCAAAATTCTACGAGCATTACGTGAGTGAATAATGTCCTATTATTATTGTTATAATATTAGTTAATTATGTCTTTGTTTGCATTATACATCACTGTGTATTAAATGATGTGTGTTGGTGTGAATGACTGAACAGCTGATCTGTCACATACATAAATCATTTGGCAAGTTGTTGTTAACGTTACAGAATTATTAACTAACGATATGAATTATCTTTACATTTAATAATTCAGCAGATGTTTTTATCCAAACCGACTTACAAATGAGAGCAATATCAGCGGTGAATCTGCCAGTGACCCTTCAGTGTAATCCAACAGTGCATGTACTTTATTTTTATTTTTATTTTCTATATAGAATAGAAGAGAAAGTGTTAGTATTAATGACCAAGTGTTGCCGATAAAGATGCGTCTTCAGCCGTTATCAGAATCAGATGTCATAGAAGAATATTCTATTTATTGATTAGACTAATAATTGTGTGTGTGTGTGTGTGTGTGTGTGTGTGTGTGTGTGTGTGTGCAGTGAGCGTAGCCTGTGAAATATTAAAGAGAGAGCCGCTCTTTGTCTGTTGACATGTGATCGGGGTCAGAGGTCACGCTAGAGTTACACTATTATTTTCATGAGCTCTTGTGACCCGCTGGTGTTTGTTTCACTGTCAGTCACACACACACACACACACACACTCTTTCTGCTTAACACACACACTCTCTGCTGCTCAATCAGTAGGTCATGGGGTCACGGGTTTGATTCCAGTGCATCAACTACTCAAATGCAGTTTAAATGCATGAAAGTGAGGTTGCGCTGGTCGTTTCTCCTCGATTGTGTCGTATATCGAGAGAATCGCTTCTGGAACAAGAACACATGTGGGCGGGGCTTGATCGTGTGTGGGGAGATGATTGGATGGTTGTGGTTTGGTATTATTGGCTGATATCCTGTGAGTGACAGGTTATAGCCCCGCCCACATCATCAGAGAAGAGAAGAGATGCTGCAGGAGGAACTGATTCTGATTCAACATTATTAACACAATAATGATGTGCACCCATAAATCATTTATGATAAACACTGCAATATTCCATAAAAATAAGAATAGCCATTTTTATTTCATGTTGGCTTTAAGTGCAGGGTGAGAGTGTGACGTGTGTTTCTCTGTTTTATTCCCTCAGACTGAAGACACAGAGCAGCAGATCATCAGGGAAACCTTTCATCTGGTGTCCAAACGAGACGAGAACGTCTGCAACTTCCTGGAGGGCGGATTGTAAGTCTCACACACACGCGTTTCTCCAGGGATGTGACGTGTGTCACGGCTCATGCGTGTGTGTGTGTGTGTGTGTGTGTGTGCGCAGGCTAATCGGCGGCTCGGAGAACAAGCTGATCTACCGACACTACGCCACCCTGTACTTCGTGTTCTGCGTGGACTCGTCGGAGAGCGAGCTGGGCATTCTGGACCTGATCCAGGTGTTGATGCGACGCTGATGCTGATTGGTCAATGTGATGATGATGATGATGATGTGATGATGTGACTTGCGTCGCTCTCTCTGTGTCCGCAGGTGTTCGTGGAGACGCTGGACAAATGCTTCGAGAACGTGTGTGAGCTCGACCTGATCTTCCACATGGACAAGGTGACGAAACCAGCGCTAAAGTCCCGATACACTCACGATCGTTCCGCCCACATCCAGACTCCACCCACATCCCCCGGCTCCGCTCATATCCAGACTCCACCCACATCCCCCGACTCCGCTCATATTCAGACTCCTCCCACATCCAGACTCCACCCACATCCCACGACTCCGTCCACATCCAGACTCCACCCACATCCCCAGACTCTGCTCACATCCAGACTCCTCCCACATCCAGACTCCGCCCCCACATCCAGACTCCACCCACACCCAGACTCCGTCCACATCCAGACTCCACCCACATCCCGACTCCGCTCACATCCAGACTCCTCCCACATCCAGACTCCGCCCCCACATCACAGACTCCTCCCACATCCAGACTCCACCCACATCCAGACTCCTCCCACATCCCAGACTCCGTCCACATCCAGACTCCACTCACAACCCGACTCCTCCCACATCCAGACTCCACCCACATCCCCCGACTCCGCTCATATCCAGACTCCACCCACATCCCCCGACTCCGCTCATATCCAGACTCCACCCACATCCCCCGACTCCGCTCATATCCAGACTCCTCCCACATCCAGACTCCACCCACATCCAGACTCCGCTCACATCCAGACTCCGCCCACATCCCATGACCACGCTCATAATCGGACTGTTTTCTGTAGAGCGGTGTCGTGTTAGCGGCCGCTAAGTTAATAACTAATGATCGTTGCGACCAGTGGCGTAACGAGCCAACACCGGGCCCTTATGCAGGATTATCAAGGCGGGCCCCTACTACACGTGATGACGCAATGTCCACGAGTAGGCTTTTGCATGCAATACGCAAGGAACTGTTTACACCTGGCCACTTCATGCTTTTTCTGTGATCGTATAGCTATCCGATCGTGAAAAGACCAGGTGTAAATTCCCTTCGAAACGCATTCGAGACGGATTTGAATCCGGTCGCTCAAACCACTTCAGGAGGAGGTCTGGGCCGCATTCCAGACGAAACTGGACAAGTGTAAATACATCTGGTTGTTGAAACCACATATGTCAATTTTACTCCTCTAAAAATGCTAAAAATATGATATGACGATGCTTCTGCAACAACACGCATCACCGCAGATGAGCATCTATTCATCAAGCCAACGCACAAACTATCGCAAATCAAAGTGAAAGTAAGTCGCAGACGCTCGCTTAACACACAATCATCTTCATTAAAAGTAAAGAAACGAAATGATCTTACCAGTACTGTTGCCGCTCTCTCTAATTGCGGTCTTCGTTTTAGAAATTTTAGCTGATGATCAATAAAATGCAGCTTATCTGTTGCTTTCGGTGACGTGAACTCTATTAAATCTGCATATAGCGCGGAAATTTAAGATCGGATTTATATCTGTTTTGCAAAAACACATATGTGACCAGCTGTAAATGGAATCGTTTTGATAAATCAGTATCCGATCTGAGAAAACGCATGAAGTGGCGCGCGCGTGTAACGTTAAACAGCCGACCCGGGATTCCCCAGTCCCAGCTCAAAACAAATTACACCAAAATCCATGATTGTTCGTTTCACACATGTATTTAATGATCTGTAAAATATGTTGTTGTCATTATTTATTTAAAACAAAATCGTGATAAAGTAAAATGCGATCAAACTAAAAGTAGTAATATGCGATAGGGGGCCCCGGCTGTCAATCAATATCTTCCAGTCAAGCGGGCCCCTGATTGGTCCGGGCCCGTAAGCAACCGCGTACCCTGCTTACCGATAGTTACGCCACTGGTTGCGACGGAAGTGAATCAATCAAAACTAACTTTAGCTGTAAAGCCTAAACAATCTCTGTTACTGTAATCTCCTGTTATCACTGTAAAGCTGCTTTAAAACGGTCTATATTGTTAAAGCGCTGTATAAATGAAGACTCTCCTGCAGGTCCACAACATCCTGGCGGAGATGGTGATGGGAGGGATGGTGCTGGAGACCAACATGAGCGAGATCATCACGCAGGCGGAGGCGCAAACCAAGATGGAGAAATCTGAGGTGAGGCGACACGTGTCCGTCCGTGCGCAGGCATGTGTGTGTGTGTGTGTGTGTGTGTGTGGAACGCATGTCCCAGAATGCTGTTCTGTGATGCCTTGGTTCTGAACGTCTGCTGCTGAAACTGAAGACTGTCTGTGGGATTCCTTGCTTTTCCATCGAGAGGAACAAACAGAACTGCGTTGCATCATCTCACGGGGCTCCGATCATCTTCATCTCACACACACACACACACACACACACACACACACACACACACACATCATCAAACCACGAGAGAAGCAGCGTGTGTTTGTGTGTCAGTGAAATCAGGATGTGTATTTGTGCCCGTTTATCCTGATGTTATCCAGCTCTCGCCTCGGAGGGAATGTCACGGACAAACGCTATATTTCAACTTATGCAGTGATTAATATGTAAGATCTATTGATGAAGATGCGGCTGGAGCTGATGACTCTTCAACACATCCAGGCGCCTCGAGTTCTTCAATCCCGTCTCTCCTGTCCCGTCATGTCTCTAATAAAGGCAAAAATGACAAAAATAAATCATAAACATTAATTTGTGACAATTAACCCCTAAATTCTCTTGACTGTAATGCAATAATGAAAATCAAATCGATGCAGAACATGACGGACATCCTCCATACAAACAATCCAAATGTTCACATTGCAAACAGCCTTAAGAGGATCTATTGTGCTTTCCTCATCTTCATCTCTTCAGTGTGTAATGTTGAAGCTCCAGTTCTCCTCTATATCAGTGTCAGTGTTCCTGAACTCCTGAAACGCCTCCATTAGTCTCGAGTTTCTTCCGGGAACGAACACATCACAATATTCCTCATTATAATAATTAATGCGCAGAATAAAGGGGCGGGGCCTGGTTGAGTTAGTTAGTAGTGTGTTAAACTGGCGGTTATGGAAAGGGGCGGGACATTTCCCAAACACACTCGAAGCGCTCGACCAATCACAACACACTGATCCAGCCGACCAATCAGAGCACAGTGTGCTTTCAGGAGGAGGGGCTTCATAGAGACAGGAAGTGAACAGAGCGTTACTGACAGACTGGGAAGAGAGGAGCCGCAACAGTGGAGAATATGAGGAGAATAATCAACATTCAAGCAGGAAAACCTGCTCTAGTTGAGCCTGAAACATCATCACGCATAATAGGTCCTCTTTAATGCTTAAGTGTATTGTGATCTGACAGATAAAGACCCACCGCAGACCAGCATGACTCTGTCTCCGTGGAGTTGGAGTGTGTGTGTGGTGGGTCTCAGCTCTTGTGTGTGTGAAGTGTGTTGATCTGCTGTAACTGTGTCTCTTCACTCTTTCCTGACTGTCTCCAGCTCTTTGCGTTTCTCTCTTTCTGCAGACGTTTATCTTTCAGTGTCCCAGACAGGACAGGTAGACACAGGTAGGGCTGAACGCCACACCCAATGACATCACACGCGATCCTGAGGACACACTCCCTGCGCGACACACACAGCAAACACACACCGCAAACACTCGGACTGGTCAGAACCGGCTCGGATCCAACAGATGTTCAGAAACACCACACTACCAGTCACACATGTGGGATCGGGAGATTTGTAATGTTTTTACGAGTCTCCTCTGCTCACCAAGGCTGCATCTGATTAAAAATACACAAAAAAACAAACAAATTACAAAAAGTAATATTGTGAAATATTATTATAATGTAAATCAGCTGTTCTCTATGTGAATATACAGTAAAGTGTAATTTATTCCTGTGATTTTCAGCATCATTACTCCAGTCTTCAGTGTCACATGATCCTTCAGAAATCACTCTAATATGAGGATCTGATGCTCAAGAAACAGTTATGATTATTATCAGTGTTGAACACAGTTTTTCAGGATTCTTTGATGAATAAAAAGTTCAAAAGAACAGCATTTGTCTGAAATAGAAGCTTTTGTAACATTATAAATGTCTTTACCTTCATGAATAAAAGTATTGATATCTTTTATTTCTTTCCCCCAAAAAATAAAATAAAAATTCTTACTGACCGCAAACTTTTAAATGGTAGGGTTTAATGTTTCAAAAGCTTCTATTTCTATAAATGCTGTTCTTTTGAACTTTCTATTCATCAAAGAATCCTGAAAAGAAATTGTACACAACCGCTTTCAACACTGATAATAATCATAAATGTTTCTTGATCATCAGATCCTCATATTAGAGTGATTTATAAACGCAGCCTTGGTGAGCAGAAGAGACTCGGCGATCCCGAACTGTCGGCTGGTGTGTGTGTGTGTGTGTGAGAGAGGAGCGCGGGGTTTCTCCCAGTCGCCGGCCGGTGGGAACGCGGTCCTCAGGATCTCAGGTAGAAGAGCGCAGATCTGTGTGAGTGTGTGTGAGTGTGTGTGAGTCTAGAGGCGAGCCGTAGATCGCAGCACAGATAGTGAATCAGTAGAGCTCATTGCTGGTAAGTTCAGTATTCTCATCTGTCCTGTTCAGTGTGTGTGTGAGCACTGTCCCATGATGCACTGCTCCAGCTGAACAGACGCCAGGTAAACACTGACTGATGATGATGATGATGATGATGAAGATCTGGGCTAATCTGAGACTGTACAGTGACAAACACACACACACACACACACACGCAGTCGGTCAGTCTTTACCTGTGTGTGTACTAGTTAGTTTCATTTTTATTTAGTCTTACTTTGTGTTCATTTAATTTGGCATTAGAACAAACCCTGGCGTGTAACAAAGCGTGTAACGAAGCGTGTAATAAGCGTGTAACGAAGCGTGTAATAAGCGTGTAACGAAGCGTTGAAGCGTATAACGAAGCGTGTTGAAGCGTGTAACGAAGCGTGTTGAAGCGTGTAACGAAGCGTGTTGAAGCGTGTAATGAAGCGTGTTGAAGCGTGTAACGAAGCGTGTTGAAGCGTGTAACGAAGCGTGTTGAAGCGTGTAATGAAGCGTGTTGAAGCGTGTAACGAAGCGTGTTGAAGCGTGTAACGAAGCGTGTTGAAGCGTGTAATGAAGCGTGTTGAAGCGTGTTGAAGCGTGTAACGAAGCGTGTTGAAGCGTATAACGAAGCGTGTTGAAGCGTGTAATGAAGCGTTGAAGCGTATAACGAAGCGTGTTGAAGCGTGTAACGAAGCGTGTTGAAGCGTGTAACGAAGCGTGTTGAAGCGTGTAATGAAGCGTGTTGAAGCATGTAACGAAGCGTGTTGAAGCGTGTAACGAAGCGTCTGGTGAAGCGTGTAACGAAGCGTGTTGAAGCGTGTAAAGAAGTGTGTTGAAGCGTGTAAAGAAGTGTGTTGAAGCGTGTAATGAAGCGTGTTGAAGCGTGTAAAGAAGTGTGTTGAAGCGTGTAATGAAGCGTGTTGAAGCGTGTAATGAAGCGTGTAACGAAGCGTCTGGTGAAGCGTGTAACGAAGCGTGTTGAAGCGTGTAAAGAAGTGTTGAAGCGTGTAACGAAGCGTGTTGAAGCGTGTAACGAAGCGTGTTGAAGCGTGTAACGAAGCGTGTTGAAGCGTGTAATGAAGCGTGTTGAAGCGTGTAACGAAGCGTCTGGTGAAGCGTGTAACGAAGCGTGTTGAAGCGTGTTGAAGCATGTTGAAGCGTGTTGAAGCGTGTAACGAAGCGTGTTAAAGCGTGTAACGAAGCGTGTTAAAGCGTGTAACGAAGTGTGTTGAAGCGTGTAACGAAGCGTGTTGAAGCGTGTAACGAAGCGTGTTGAAGCGTGTAACGAAGCGTGTTGAAGCGTGTAACGAAGCGTGTTGAAGCGTGTAACGAAGCGTGTTAAAGCGTGTAACGAAGCGTGTTGAAGCGTGTAACGAAGTGTGTTGAAGCGTGTAACGAAGCGTGTTGAAGCGTGTAACGAAGCGTGTTAAAGCGTGTAACGAAGCGTGTTGAAGCGTGTAACGAAGCGTGTTAAAGCGTGTAACGAAGCGTGTTGAAGCGTGTAACGAAGCGTGTTAAAGCGTGTAACGAAGCGTGTTGAAGCGTGTAACGAAGCGTGTTGAAGCGTGTAACGAAGCGTCTGGCGAAGCGTGTAACGAAGCGGATGTAAGTCAATGTTCATTACGGAAGATTTATTATTTAATAATTTGAGCAGCAGTTTTAAGATTTTGATTTATTATTTGATCTTTTTAAGCATTTGAATTTTCATTTGAATTTTGTCAGGAACAAACGTCCATAGTTCATGACATGGAGGCGTGTGTGGAGCAGAAGATGCTGTGATCCTCTGACGTCACTCCTGTTCTCCTCAATCATTATTATTAATCTGAGTTTAATTGGATCTCGATCAGGGAAGCTGACCCGGATTAACCCGCCTAATCCTGCGCTTAGTGACGCCAGCGGCAGATCATCAAACCTAACGACTCTTATTGTTATGGAATATTGCAGTGTTTATCATCAATGATTAATCAGTGCACATTTTAATAATGTTGAATCAGAATCAGTTCCTCTTCAGCATCTCTTCTCTTCTCTGATGATGTGGGCGGGGCAACCTGTCACTCACACGAGATCAGCCAATAGCAGACGACAACCATCCAATCAGTTTCCCACGAGCACAATCAAGCCCCGCCCACATGTGTTCTGGTTCCAGAAGCGATTCACTCGAAATACGACACCATACAGGAGAGACGACCCAGTGGATCACATGACGTCATTAATGAAAGTAAAGTCGTTGAGTCTCTGTTTCGAAGGGTTTGTGTTTCCCATTCCTCATTTCATGTGTCTTCCGTCATTCCCTTTCCACACTATTCTCTGTGAATGTCCCTCGGCCCGTGTGTGTGTGTCGCATGCGCAGCTTTGATCACGAGCGTCTGCATCGTGTGTGTTGTGGAGCGTCCGGCGTGTGTGTGTGTGTGTGTGTAACTGTGTTTGTGTGTGTCCAGGCCGGGATCGCGGGAGCTCCGGCGCGCGCCGTATCCGCCGTCAAGAACATGAACCTGCCAGAGATGCCCAAGAACATCAACATCGGGGACATCAGCATCAAAGTGCCAAACCTGCCCTCCTTTAAATAGAGCAGAGCCACACGAGTCTAACAGGACACTGTTCACTACAGCTGTGACATCACTGATGATGGTGATGGTGGTGAAGATGATGGTGATGAAGGCGGCTGTACATGAAGTATTTATTTGATTCTTCTGTCCTCTGTGTGTCTCGCTGCAGTGTTGGGGTGTGTGTGTGTGTGAGTGAGTGTGTGCATGTGTGAGAGTGAGTAAGATTGTGTGTGTGTGCGTTTGTGTGTGTGCGTGTGTGTGTGTGAGACTGTGTGCATTTGTGTGTGTGTGTGTGTGTGTGTGAGACTGTGTGCATTTTTGTGTGTGTGTGTGTGTGTGTGTGTGTGTGAGACTGTGTGCATTTGTGTGTGTGTGTGTGTGTGTGTGTGTGTGTGTGAGACTGTGCATTTTTGTGTGTGTGTGTGTGTGTGAGACTGTGTGCATTTGTGTGTGTGTGTGTGTGTGTGTGGCGCTCAGATCATCACTCCTAACAAACATTCCAGTATGGAAATATCTTAATGATGCTGTATATGCCTATATAATATATCTGCGTATGTAATCAGAGTATATTTATATATGATTTGTCTTTCTTACGCCGGTAGTTCTGCTGTGGCTCTGCACTGGTGCATGTATTTCCTTTTGCAACAAAATAAAGTATCAAATTATTTTTTCTTCTCTAACTCTGGCTGTTTGGTGTTTGATGAATACTCAAGTTTACTCAATTCAACACCTTTCATAAACACTATTTCTTTATTGTGGATAGTTATTAATACACACATCTGTAACTCAGACCTCTTTTCATGAATATGTATTGTGAAAAGCACTATGCAAATAAATTTGAATTGAATTGAATTTACTTCAGAAAAAATGAAAGATAAAGAACACATTTCTAGATTCTAGTTTTAAACAGACGATGATGGTGCTGGTTTTGATAAACCACATGTGAAATAAGATAAAATAATAAAAGATATTTGCTCATTAATTATTCTCTAGTTAATTTTTTTCATGGAAAGTAAACAAAATACTGTAGTAATTATGGTATGGTTGCCATGGGGACTTTAGCGCATCAGTTTCTCTATTATATTTCTACGACAGCATTTAATGACATATTCGCCTCTCATCACCACACGCGCGCGCGCGCGCACACACACACACACACACACACACGCGGTTATTATATGTAACCATATAACAAATTCAGTGTAACTAGGAGTTGCTGACGCAGGTGGGCGTGTCCACGCGCTGACGTCACCGTCACGTGGATGAGCGGCAGGAAGTGACTGTTGTGTTTCTGGACGCGAAAAGAAAGTAGAGAACGGATTTACGATGAGTTCCATAATCCCGGAGACACAGAGGTAAAGCTACACCTTTATTTGTATTCATGCGAAATTTATACATGAATCAATACGATACTGATCGCCACTTTTCACGGAAGCGTAAATCAATGTAAATGTGTCTATCTATCATTGCATCTGTAATGCTTCTCCTCCTCTTCTCTTCATTTCATCTTCTCCTCTTCATTTCATCTTCTCCTCATCATCATCATCTTCTCCTCATCATCATCATCGTCTTCTCTTCATCTTCTTCTCTTCTTCCTCTTCTGATCTGCAGCATTAAAGCGGCTGTGATTCACATCAACTCCATCGACAGCAGCAAGTTTTCTAGACTCCTGTCTCGGATTCTGCAGAAGCTCCACCTGAAGGTGTGTGTGTGTGTGTGTGTGTGTGTGTGTGTGTGTGTGTGTGTGTGTGCAGGAGCGCTCCTTCAGTGAGGAAGAGCAGGAGAAGCTGATGATCACTGTGTGTGTGTGTGTGTGTGCAGGAGCGCTCCTTCAGTGAGGAAGAGGAGGAGAAGCTGATGATCACTGTGTGTGTGTGTGTGTGTGCAGGAGCGCTCCTTTGAAGAGGAGGAGAAGCTGATGATCACTGTGTGTGTGTGTGTGTGTGTGTGTGTGTGCAGGAGCGCTCCTTCAGTGAGGAAGAGGAGGAGAAGCTGATGATCACTGTGTGTGTGTGTGTGTGTGTGTGTGTGTGTGTGTGCAGGAGTGCTTCTTCAGTGAGGAAGATTAGGAGAAGCTGATGATCACTGTGTGTGTGTGTGTGTGTGTGTGTGTGTGCAGGAGCGCTCCTTCAGTGAGGAAGAGGAGGAGAAGCTGATGATCACTGTGTGTGTGTGTGTGTGTGTGTGCAGGAGCGCTCCTTCAGTGAGGAAGAGGAGGAGAAGCTGATGATCACTGTGTGTGTGTGTGTGTGTGTGTGTGTGTGCAGGAGCGCTCCTTCAGTGAGGAAGAGGAGGAGAAGCTGATGATCACTGTGTGTGTGTGTGTGTGTGTGTGTGCAGGAGCGCTTCTTCAGTGAGGAAGAGGAGGAGAAGCTGATGATCACTGTGTGTGTGTGTGTGTGTGTGTGTGTGTGTGTGTGTGTGTGTGTGTGTGTGTGTGTGTGTGCAGGAGCGCTCCTTCAGTGAGGAAGAGGAGGAGAAGCTGATGATCACTGTGTGTGTGTGTGTGTGTGTGTGTGTGTGTGTGTGTGTGTGTGTGTGTGTGTGTGTGCGCGCAGGAGCGCTCCTTCAGTGAGGAAGAGGAAGAGAAGCTGATGATCACTGTGTGTGTGTGTGTGTGTGTGTGCAGGAGCGCTCCTTCAGTGAGGAAGAGGAAGAGAAGCTGATGATCACTGTGTGTGTGTGTGTGTGTGTGTGCAGGAGCGCTCCTTCAGTGAGGAAGAGGAGGAGAAGCTGATGATCACTGTGTGTGTGTGTGTGTGTGTGTGTGTGTGTGTGCAGGAGCGCTCCTTCAGTGAGGAAGAGGAGGAGAAGCTGATGATCACTGTGTGTGTGTGTGTGTGTGCAGGAGCGCTCCTTCAGTGAGGAAGAGGAAGAGAAGCTGATGATCGCTGTGTGTGTGTGTGTGTGTGTGTGTGTGTGTGTGTGCGCAGGAGCGCTTCTTCAGTGAGGAAGAGGAGGAGAAGCTGATGATCGCTGTGTGTGTGTGTGTGTGTGTGTGTGTGTGTGTGTGTGTGTGTGTGTGTGTGCAGGAGCGCTCCTTCAGTGAGGAAGAGGAAGAGAAGCTGATGATCGCTGTGTGTGTGTGTGTGTGTGTGTGTGTGTGCAGGAGCGCTTCTTCAGTGAGGAAGAGGAGGAGAAGCTGATGATCGCTGTGTGTGTGTGTGTGTGTGTGTGTGCGCAGGAGCGCTCCTTCAGTGAGGAAGAGGAGGAGAAGCTGATGATCACTGTGTGTGTGTGTGTGTGTGTGTGTGTGTGCAGGAGCGCTCCTTCAGTGAGGAAGAGGAGGAGAAGCTGATGATCACTGTGTGTGTGTGTGTGTGTGTGTGTGTGTGTGTGTGCGCGCAGGAGCGCTCCTTCAGTGAGGAAGAGGAGGAGAAGCTGATGATCACTGTGTGTGTGTGTGTGTGTGTGTGTGTGTGTGTGTGTGTGTGTGTGTGTGTGCGCAGGAGCGCTCCTTCAGTGAGGAAGAGGAGGAGAAGCTGATGATCACTGTGTGTGTGTGTGTGTGTGTGTGTGTGCAGGAGCGCTTCTTCAGTGAGGAAGAGGAGGAGAAGCTGATGATCACTGTGTGTGTGTGTGTGTGTGTGTGTGTGTGTGTGTGTGTGTGTGCAGGAGCGCTCCTTCAGTGAGGAAGAGGAGGAGAAGCTGATGATCACTGTGTGTGTGTGTGTGTGTGTGTGTGTGTGTGTGTGTGTGTGTGTGTGTGTGTGTGTGTGTGTGTGTGCAGGAGCGCTCCTTCAGTGAGGAAGAGGAGGAGAAGCTGATGATCACTGTGTGTGTGTGTGTGTGTGTGTGTGTGTGTGCAGGAGCGCTTCTTCAGTGAGGAAGAGGAGGAGAAGCTGATGATCACTGTGTGTGTGTGTGTGTGTGTGTGTGTGCGCAGGAGCGCTCCTTCAGTGAGGAAGAGGAGGAGAAGCTGATGATCACTGTGTGTGTGTGTGTGTGTGTGTGTGTGTGTGTGCAGGAGCGGTCCTTCAGTGAGGAAGAGGAGGAGAAGCTGATGATCACTGTGTGTGTGTGTGTGTGTGTGTGTGCAGGAGCGCTCCTTCAGTGAGGAAGAGGAGGAGAAGCTGATGATCACTGTGTGTGTGTGTGTGTGTGTGTGTGCAGGAGCGCTCCTTCAGTGAGGAAGAGGAGGAGAAGCTGATGATCACTGTGTGTGTGTGTGTGTGTGTGTGTGCAGGAGCGCTCCTTCAGTGAGGAAGAGGAGGAGAAGCTGATGATCACTGTGTGTGTGTGTGTGTGTGTGTGCAGGAGCGCTCCTTCAGTGAGGAAGAGGAGGAGAAGCTGATGATCACTGTGTGTGTGTGTGTGTGTGTGTGTGCAGGAGCGCTCCTTCAGTGAGGAAGAGGAGGAGAAGCTGATGATCGCTCTCTCTCTGGAGAAACACACTCTTCAGCTGCTGCTGGAAGCCGTGTCCTTCATCCTCGAGCAGGTGCTGCACATTCTTACTCTTCATGCAATATTACAGTCATACAACCTTCCAATCAACAACAAAATCTACATCTGTTCTTCCTCCAAAAGCATTTCACTTGATATCCGTCACAATAGGGAAGAAAAGGCAAGTTTAAAGGGATAGTTCACCCAAAATTTAAATTAGCCCATGATTTACTCACCCTCAAGTCATCCTAGGTGTATATGACACTCTTCTTTCAGACGAACACAATCAGTTATATTAAAAAATGTCCAGGCTCTTCCAAGCTTTATGATGGCAATGAATGTCTGTTTCTGTTTTGAAGTCCATAAAAGTGCATCTATCCATCATAAAAGTGCATCTATCCATCATAAAAGTGCATCTATCCATCATAAAAGTGCATCTGTCCATCATAAAAGTGCATCTATCCATCATAAAAGTACATCTATCCATCATAAAAGTGCATCTATCCATCATAAGTGCATCTGTCCATCATAAAAGTGCATCTATCCATCATAAAAGTGCATCTGTCCATGATAAAAGTGCATCTGTCCATGATAAAAGTGCATCTATCCATCATAAAAGTGCATCTATCCATCATAAAAGTGCATCTATCCATCATAAAAGTGCATCTATCCATCATAAAAGTGCATCTATCCATCATAAAAGTACATCTATCCATCATAAAAGTGCATCTATCCATCATAAAAGTACATCTATCCATCATAAAAGTGCATCTATCCATCATAAAAGTGCATCTGTCCATCATAAAAGTGCATCTATCCATCATAAAAGTACATCTATCCATCATAAAAGTGCATCTATCCATCATAAGTGCATCTGTCCATCATAAAAGTGCATCTATCCATCATAAAAGTGCATCTGTCCATGATAAAAGTGCATCTATCCATCATAAAAGTGCGTCTATCCATCATAAAAGTGCGTCTATCCATCATAAAAGTGCATCTGTCCATCATAAAAGTGCATCTGTCCATCATAAAAGTGCATCTATCCATCATAAAAGTGCATCTGTCCATGATAAAAGTGCATCTATCCATCATAAAAGTGCATCTGTCCATCATAAAAGTCCATCTATCCATCATAAAAGTGCATCTGTCCATCATAAAAGTGCATCTATCCATCATAAAAGTGCATCTATCCATCATAAAAGTGCATCTATCCATGATAAAAGTGCATCTATCCATGATAAAAGTGCATCTATCCATCATAAAAGTGCATCTATCCATCATAAAAGTGCATCTATCCATCATAAAAGTGCATCTATCCATCATAAAAGTGCATCTGTCCATCATAAAAGTGCATCTGTCCATCATAAAAGTGCATCTGTCCATCATAAAAGTGCATCTGTCCATCATAAAAGTGCATCTGTCCATCATAAAAGTCCATCTATCCATCATAAAAGTGCATCTGTCCATCATAAAAGTGCATCTATCCATCATAAAAGTGCATCTATCCATCATAAAAGTGCATCTGTCCATCATAAAAGTGAATAAATCCATCATAAAAGTGCATCTATCCATCATAAAAGTGCATCTATCCATGATAAAAGTGCATCTATCCATCATAAAAGTGCATCTATCCATCATAAAAGTGCATCTATCCATCATAAAAGTGCATCTGTCCATCATAAAAGTGCATCTGTCCATCATAAAAGTGCATCTATCCATCATAAAAGTGCATCTGTCCATCATAAAAGTGCATCTGTCCATCATAAAAGTGCATCTGTCCATCATAAAAGTGCATCTGTCCATCATAAAAGTGCATCTGTCCATCATAAAAGTCCATCTATCCATCATAAAAGTGCATCTATTCATCATAAAAGTGCATCTATCCATCATAAAAGTGCATCTGTCCATCATAAAAGTGCATCTGTCCATCATAAAAGTGCATCTGTCCATCATAAAAGTGCATCTATCCATCATAAAAGTCCATCTATCCATCATAAAAGTGCATCTATCCATCATAAAAGTGCATCTGTCCATCATAAAAGTGCATCTATCCATCATAAAAGTGCATCTATCCATCATAAAAGTGCATCTATCCATCATAAAAGTCCATCTGTCCATCATAAAAGTGCATCTATCCATCATAAAAGTGCATCTGTCCATCATAAAAGTGCATCTGTCCATCATAAAAGTGCATCTATCCATGATAAAAGTGCATGGAGGATTTTTTCCTCAGGTTAATCATTTTTAACGCTCATACTGAACATGACTGGTTATACCCTGTTACAGTGTGAAAGACACACACATCTCGAGTGTGTAACTGGTTTGTAACTGAGTTGTGTATCTGTTGTCCAGGCCGTGTATCACAGTGTTAAACCCCTGGCACTCAGACAGCATCTGGAGAACATCAGCCTGGCGCCGGAGAAAGCAGAAGTCTTCAGTCAGGTCTGGGCTTCAGCTGGGCCAGAAGTGCTGGAGAAGATCCGACACGGGATATTTGCCCCGGAGAAGGTCAGTTCTCCACAGTTCTCCACAGTTCTCCTCAGTTCTCCTCAGTTCTCCTCAGTTCTCCTCAGTTCTCCACAGTTCTCCTCAGTTCTCCTCAGTTCTCCTCAGTTCTCCTCAGTTCTCCACAGTTCTCCTCAGTTCTCCTCAGTTCTCCACAGTTCTCCACAGTTCTCCACAGTTCTACTCAGTTCTCCACAGTTCTCCACAGTTCTGCTTAGTTCTGCTTAGTTCTCCACAGTTCTCCACAGTTCTGCTCAGTTCTCCACAGTTCTGCTCAGTTCTCCTCAGTTCTCCACAGTTCTCCTCAGTTCTCCTCAGTTCTCCACAGTTCTACTCAGTTCTACTCAGTTCTACTCAGTTCTCCACAGTTCTCCACAGTTCTGCTCAGTTCTCCACAGTTCTCCACAGTTCTGCTCAGTTCTCCACAGTTCTCCACAGTTCTGCACAGTTCTGCTTAGTTCTCCACAGTTCTCCACAGTTCTGCACAGTTCTGCTTAGTTCTCCACAGTTCTCCTCAGTTCTCCACAGTTCTGCTCAGTTCTCCACAGTTCTCCACAGTTCTCCACAGTTCTGCTCAGTTCTCCTCAGTTCTCCACAGTTCTCCACAGTTCTCCACAGTTCTCCACAGTTCTCCACAGTTCTCCACAGTTCTCCTCAGTTCTCCACAGTTCTCCTCAGTTCTCCACAGTTCTCCTCAGTTTTCCACAGTTTTCCACAGTTCTCCTCAGTTCTCCACACTTCTGCTCAGTTCTCCACAGTTCTCCACAGTTCTCCACAGTTCTCCACAGTTCTGCTCAGTTCTCCACAGTTCTGCTCAGTTCTCCTCAGTGCAAACTTCATCAGTTATGAGAGAAATTCAATTTCAGCTGTAAAGCAGCTCTAAAAACACAGTCATTATTCATCTCGAGTCTTTAGGGTTAGGGTTAGGGTTCATAATATTCGCTCAGATCGGCCAAAGATCGCTCATTTCGGCCAAAATATCAGGTTTAAATCGACTGAAGCGACACATACTAAGAAATTGCAATAGTGCGACAGGGTACGCAATAATCGTTCCTTTACTCTCAGGGAACCGAGGTTACGTTAGTAACAGAGTACGTTCCCTTTCGAGAATGGTCACTTCGTGTTGCGTAGCTAATACGCAGTGGGGACGCAATGTAAAACGCAGCACATTAGCAACTGGCTGAATCAACTGGAGCCTAGGGAACACCCCGAGGCTCAACAGATCAAGCCATAATCAGTCTCCCTGTATAGTGACACTAACCAGACAGAGTTGGGTTCATGAATAAAAACTGGGGCTCATAACCGTGGACCACTTGCGCTTATGGAAAGTAACGTGTGGTTATGTGCTTATGGATAGTAACTACTTGTGCTTATGGACAGTAACATGCTAGATAGATAAAAACTAGACACTGTCGGATTAATATCATACTGAGAGGACCCTGGCCTGGACCCTGGCCTGCAGGCGAGTTACCTCCAGATTATAAAATCTGACAAATGTGGACGGCGAGGACCAGCCGGCCGCTGCACAAATGTCTTGAATTGACACACCACTGGACCAAGCCCACGAAGAGGCCATGCTTCTCGTGGAATGGGCTTTAGCGCCTATGGGACAAACCTGGCCCACAGAGGTGTATGCCAGCGAGATGGCGTCCACTATCTCTCTGGATAGTCTCTGCTTCGTGACCGGAACCCCTTTGGTGCAACTGCCGAATCAAACAAAGAGCTGTTCTGACTGCCTAAACGGTGCAGAACGCTCTAAGTATATCTTTAGAGCCCTAACGGGACACAGCAGATTAGCGCCACCATCATTCTCCGAGGGTGGAAGTGCTAATAATGTAATAACCTGAGCTCTGAACGGGGTTGAGAGCACCTTAGGTACATAACTGTGCCTTGGCTTGAGAATGACTCTGGAGTCATTTGTCCCAAATTCCAGGCAGGATGGGCTCACAGAGAGCGCCTGCAAATCCCCCACTCGCTTAACTGATGCCAAAGCCAGCAGCAGAGCAGTCTTCAGCGAAAGTGGTTTGAGATCAAGCAAATGTAGTGGTTCGAACGGTGGCCCCTTCAGGGTCCCAAGGACCGTGGAAAGGTCCCATGCCGGGATAGTGGGAGGCCTGGGGGGTTCAACCTCCTGGCTCCTTTGAGAAAACGGACGATAAGGTCGTTTCTCCCCAATGACTGGCCAGCCACAGGAGCATGATGAGCTGCCATGGCTGCCACGTACACTTTGAGCGTGGATGGGGAGCGACCCGCATCCAAAAGCTCTTGTAAGAAGGAGTGCACCACTGATACTTCGCATGAGTGGGGCTTGAAGTGTCTGGCTGAGCACCAGCCAGCGAATACTGACCACTTCAGAGCACAGAGGCGTCTTGTAGACGGTGCTCTAGCCTTAGTGATGGTATTTAAGACTTTTTCTGGGAGGTCCCAGGATACCCGTTAAGGGGCCACACATGGAGGGCCCATAAGTTGGGTTGAGGGTGCCAGATCGTCCCGTTCGCCTGTGTGAGGAGGTCCTTCCTCATTGGCACTGGCCAGGGAACATTGTCCATCATCCGTGCCAGTTCTGGAAACCATGCTTGAGTTTTCCAGAGGGGGGCTACTAGGAGGACTGAGCATCCGCTCTCCTTGATCCGTCTGATGACCTGAGGGATCATAGAGACCGGCGGGAATGCATATAGCAGGCGTCTGGGCCATGGGTGGGCCAGCACGTCCCTGTTCTTTGAAAAGAACGTTGCACAGTGAGTGTTGTTCTTTGAGGCGAAGAGGTCGACCTCTGCCCTGCCGAATAGGGGTGTAACAATACATCGATATGGATCGATGCATCGATCAAACGTCTAACGATACGATGCATCGATACCACACATAAAATATCGATGTACGGTACCTTTATTTTGACACGCTCCACATCCTCACGTAAACTTTCTCCGCTGAAATAGACGCCTGACAAGATTGACTGAACCCTTTGTCACAAAAGCCAGTATTTTCCACTGTCATCGCGAGTTCATGTCATCGCGCTGTCATCGCGAGTTCACAGCAGAAACAACAAGCCCCGAAAAGTTTGTTTTAGCAAATCAGTGCGCAGTATTCAGGTCAGGTGACAAGGCTGCTTGTCACTTTGAAAAGACGCGCTAGCTGAGAGGAGTTTCGTCAAGCTGACTAAAAGTGATCGAGGATGGATTTCAGCGAACTTGATGAACTCGTGATATCTTCTTCGGGGCGTAAAAGTAAAATAAAAGCTGAAACTTTGTCACGGAATCTTGCTAAAACAGCACGTTTAGTGGTAAGTGAAAGGCTCTCTGTATTGCGTGTACGTTAATCACAACAACAAAGTTTGACAGGCGTCTATATCAGCTGAGGAGATTGGTGTTGCAAAGATTAACCAAGTGTTTTATTATGTATCATAGCAAATACTTGGCTTTGTTTAACTCTGAAACATGAAATGTGGAGTTATCTGCTTTTGCCATACAAATATATATATATATATATATATATATATATATATATATATATAAAATATATAAATCCTTTCAATGAACTTTAATATAACAGAAGAGTTCATTTGCAAAAACAGATAACTGCGTTCTTGTTCATTTTCATATATCATTTTTTTTTTACTTGTAACAAACTACTTGTAAATGTCCCAATTGGGAGAGGGTGTGCAATTTTCAAAGAGTTTAATTAAACTTTCATGTTATATATATTTGGATGTATTGTGAGTTAATAAACGTAACCGGTTGTGTACACTTAGCACATAATATCTAAATATCGATTAATCGATCGATATAGCCCTGAATCGAATCGAATCGTAATCGAATCGTAGAATTTTTTGAGGTATCGGCAAATATCGTATCGCTGGCTGAGAGAATCGATATCGTATCGTATCGTGATTAACTGTCCGATTTACACCCCTACTGCCGAACACACTCAATATCAGCCGAACCGTCTGTGAGTTGAGGGACCACTCGCCTGGGGGAGTGTTTTGGACTCCCGGGACATGCGCAGCTCTCAGGGAGCGCAGGTTGGCATGCGACCAAAGGAGGAGTTTTCTGGCCATAACATACTGGCTGCCTGATCTGAGGCCACCCTGGCGATTTATATAGGATACCATCGACATGTTGTCCGTCCAGACCAAGATGTGGTGTCCCCTGAGGTCTGGCAGAAATACTTTCAGGGCTAACCAAACTGCTCTCGTTTCCAGGCAGTTGATGTGTAAGCTCTTCTCTGGGCTCAGCCAGAAGCCGGAGACAGGCTTGCCCTCGTGCAGCGCTCCCCAACTTTGGTTGGATGCGTCTGTGAAAATTACTTTCCTCCTGGAGGCCACACCCATAATTACACCTGACTGGTACCAGTTCTTGGCTTTCCAAGGGACCGGAGCTCTCACACAGCGCTGGTTCACCATAATGTACAGGCGGCCTGCCCGCCATGCATGGGCTGGCACATGGCGCTTTAGCCAGTGCTGAAGGGGGCGCATATGCAGTAACCCTAGCTGGAGTACTGATGATGCGGCGGCCATAAGCCCGAGCGCGCGCACCTACTCTGAAGGAGGCTATCAGCTGTTGGATAGAGAGAGCGCGCTCTGGTGTGAGCTGCGCTCTCATCGTCGATAACTGTGCCCAAAAAGATTACATTCTGGCTGGGTAACAGTTTGCTCTTAGAATATTTTGATCCTGAGACCCAGACATTCCAAATGGCTGAGTATCATGGATCTGTGTGTCAATAATTCGGTCCTCGACTGTGACATAACGAGCCAATCGGCGAGATAATTCAGCACGCACACTCCCTGTTGCCTCAGGTGAGAAAGCGCTGCGTCCATGCACTTCGTAAATATACAGGGTGCTAGGGACAGGCCGAATGGCAGGACCGTGTATTGATAAGCCCGCCCCTCAAAGGTGAATCTCAAGAATGGCCTGTGGCTGGGCGTTATCTGAATGTGAAAGTAAGCATCTTTCAGGTCCACCGTAAAAAAAACAATCCCCCTGGCGAACCTGCGCGAGGATTTGTTTGGTAGTTCTCATTCTGAATGGCCGTCTCATGAGGGCTTTGTTCAGATGTCTCAGATCTAATATGGGGCGGGTGCCACTGTCCTTCTTTGGTACACCCCATTCGGGTGTCAGCCGTAGGGCGGGGCTGGGAGACCCGAGGCGCTGGTTTCGCTGGCTGTGGAGGCGGCGTGCTCTTGTGACGGCTCGAAGCAGAACTGGAGCGTTTAGGCAGGAAGTGTCTCATAGCTTGAGAAGATTTCTGTGCCTCAGTAAACCTCTCAGAAAACCCTTTCACCGCCGGGCCAAAGAGACTGGTGCTGGAGATAGGAGAGTCGAGAAACGCCGCACTGTCCGCCTCTTTGATGTCAGTGAGGTTCAGCCAGAGGTTGCGCTCGAGCACGACGAGGTTAGCCATGACTCTGCCGATGGCCTGGGCGGTAGCCTTTGTTGCGCTGCGCAGGTCACAGAATGACCTCCGGAAGTTCGGAAGTTTCGCCTGATACACTTGCAACACCGCCGGCAGGGCTTCGAGGGGTGCACCACTCTTGATCTCCAGCCAGCAGCAGTGGTGGACACAGGTGGGCGGCGACTGCTTCCTCGAGCGGCGGCAATTTCTCATAACCTTTCTCCGCTGCACCGTCGACAAAGGAGAGCGTAGCGGAAGCGCTCGTGTGAGCTGAGTATGGCGCGCCATGACTTTGCGAGTTCGTTGTGAACCTCAGGGAAGAAGGGCGGTGGTTTGTGGCGGGGGGCCGCCCAGCCGACTCCTGGGCGGCTCCTCGGGCGAGGCCCATTCGAGACCGACGTCTGAAACGGCCGCAGTGAGGATGCGCAGCATTTCGGCGTCCGAATTAGTCCTGGTGGCGTTAGCTGTAGCGCTAGCACAGGACTGTGAGGGCGGGGTCCACCGAGCCCGACCATTCCTCCTCAGACGCAGCAATAGAGAGGCTGTCGTGCTCTTCATCCGATCCGCCGAAGGAGACGCGTGGGCGTGGGCTCGCTTAACTCCATATGCTCGGGCTGCCGTTGGCTGCGGCGCTTCTTTTTCCATGGCTGAAGTAGCGCTGGGAAAGGAAGATTAGGAAGAGCGGTGTCGCCATCTTGAAAGAGAGCTAACCGCATCCGCAGCGCTGAGATGGGCAGGCTCTCGCAGTGAGAACAGCCCGCGGCAGAGAGAGCGGCTTCAGCGTGGGCGGGTCCCAGGCACCTGGCGCACTCCGCGTGCCCGTCATCCTCGTGTAGACCAGCTCCACACGAGGTGCATGAAGAACGAGGCACTTGCTACAACGCCTCAAGAAATTTGCTCTTTTAGAGAAAAGCTGAGTGTCACAGTGCGAGCACAGCAGTAAAGGATATAGCGGTGTCTCGCAGTATGGCCACAGGAGAGCAGCGACAGAAGAGGGCGAGTTGAAGGCGCTGTCCGCTGTTTTCAAGGCTTGCTGTTGCTGATCTGGCTTGATTCGATGGCGAAAAGCTTCAGTGTGGACTTAGAGACGTGAAGTGTCGCTGAAGTTGAGTAAATCTGATATTTTCGCCGAAATGAGCGATCTTTATAGGCTTAGGCCACGCCCTTTTAGGCACGCTATGACGTATTCGGCGCCAAGTCAGTGGATTGGGCCATTGGATGTGCAGTTGCTGCAGCACAGCCAATGAGAGAGCTAGACGCTCTGCTGCGTTTCACTGTGCAGCTGCACTGCGTTTTAAATTATTGCTTCAATATTTCGAGGAAAAGGAGTTTCCCCACTGCGTATTAGCTACGCTATACGAAGTGACCGTTCTCGAAAGGGAATGTATGTTGGTGTCAGGACGAGTTATTATGGACTTCATATATACAGTCAAACCAAAACTTATTCAGACACCCTCAACATTATCAGTTTATTCGCTATAGTTTAGAAAATGGTAATAAAATATGACCAGAACTCAGAGTTCTCAGATCAGTGGATATTTGACTGGTTTTGTCCGTCCTTCTGTTAGACTCTCACACATGAATTATGTTGAATATCTGTCAGCTGTTAAATTGAACTACACAATTAGATAATACCAGTTTAGCTCAACCAGTGACCAAGCAATGCTTCATGTTGTTCCCGGTGTGTGTTCCTGTGTGTGTTCCCGTGTGTGTTCCCGGTGTGTGTTCCCATGTGTGTTCCCGTGTGTGTTCAGCTGGATCAGGTGTCGTGGCAGCTCAGTCTTCTCATGGCCCGATCGGATCAGAGCCGGCTGAAAGAGCCTCATGCCGTGATCAATCTGGGGCTCCGGGCGGAAGACGAGGTAAAGAGTGTGTGCGTGTGTGTGTGTGTGTGAGAGAGAGTGTGAGTGTGTGTGAGTGTGTGTGTGTGTGTGTAATCTCAGTGTGTCTCCTCTGAGCTGCAGTTCGTGTGTGTGTCAGATGGTGGCGCTGTGGCTGCGCGTGTGTTTCTCAGAGTCTAAAACTGAGAAGCAAACGTTTCAGAAGTGTGTTTTCCTCTCATGAGGAACCTGAACAGATGAAGACACTCACTGAGCATCTGGTTCGACTGCTGACATCATTTCCTGTCAGCAACGATCATTAGACTAGTGTGTTTCTGTGCTGGTCATGACCTCTGACCCCTGAAGCCCTTCAGTTCTGCACTGACAGAAATTAACTGGTGACATTTGATAATTAAATAGATTTCCAGGGGTGTTTTATCTAAATGAGGGCAACTAATTATATTCTTATTAGATGCATGCATCATATTTTATGTCAAATTCATACATTTAATCAGTAAATATCAATTAGAATGCTATAGGCTGTTAACAATCAGATGAAAACATTAATGTTTTTAAAATGAAATACTTTAAAAATGAAACTAAAGCTCCAGCAGGGGGCAGCAAGTCAAAGTCTTAATGAGTGAATCACAGAGTTCAAACAGCTGATTCAAGTGAATCATTGACTCGTTCGCACACTGATTGAGTCACTCAGAGAATCAGCGGTTCTGTTGCAGGTTTGATTGAAACTACTTTTGTTGGCAAAAACAGACAATTTTGTGTCTAAAAACTCACATTAACTTGTTTATTGAACTGTTGTATAAAATAATATCACATTTGCAGTCATGCTGATATTCTGTAAACCATCATGCTTGCTCGTGTGATATTTCTAATTTAAATCATATAGAAATATAAGATTTAGCCCATATATTGAGTTCAGGGTCGATGTAACTCCTGCAGTTTCAGGACGTGTTGTTGCACAGACTCTGTAAGTGTGTGTGTGAGTGTGTGTGTGTGTGTGTGTGTGTGTGTGTGTGTGTGTGTGTGTGTGTGTGTGTGTGTGTGTGTGTGTGTGTGTGTGTGTGTGTGTGTGTGTGTGTGTGTGTGTGTGTGTGTATGAGTGAGTGAGTGTGTGTGTGCATGTTTCTGAAGGTTCGTGATGCGTTTGCTGGAGAAACTGTTTTAACCTCGACCTGTGAACGAGTGTTTCTCATCATCATCATCATCATCATCATCCTTCAGTTGTGAACATCAGAACACACTCGCTTTATCAGTGAAGTTTATGTGTGTGTGTGTGTGTGTGTGTGTGTGTGTGTGTGTGTGTGTGTGTGTGTGTGTGTGTGTGTGAGAGAGAGTGAGTGTGTGTGTGTGTGTGTGTGTGTGTGTGTGTGTGTGTGTGTGTGTGTGTGTGTGTGTGTGTGTGTGTGTGTGTGTGTGTGTGTGAGAGAGTGAGTGTGTGTGTGTGTGTGTGTGTGAGAGAGTGAGTGTGTGTGTGTGTGTGTGTGTGAGAGAGTGAGTGTGTGTGTGTGTGTGTGTGTGTGTGTGTGTTAGAGTGAAGCTCTGCTGAATTATAGATGGAGGAAGAAGCGCTCATGTGTCTCTCCACGAAACACGGCATTCTGGGAAACGGAGCTTCTGGCCTCGTCTGCACCTGATCGTCACACTACCAGTTTCTGAAGATGATGATGAAGATGATGATGAAGAAGATGAAGATAATCATGAAGAAGATGATGATGAAGATGATCATGAAGAAGAAGATGATGATGATGATGATGAAGATGAAGAAGATGATGATGAATATGATGAAGAAGATGATGAAGATGATGATGAAGATTATCAGATGTGTGTGAGGAAACACAGATGCTGTTTCCTCACACACATCTGTGTTGATGCTGATTCCTCACACACATCTGTGTGTTGATGCTGATTCCTCACACACATCTCTGTGTTGATGCTGATTCCTCACACACATCTGTGTGTTGATGCTGATTCCTCACACACATCTGTGTTGATGCTGATTCCTCACACACATCTCTGTGTTGATGCTGATTCCTCACACACATCTGTGTTGATGCTGATTCCTCACACACATCTCTGTGTTGATGCTGATTCCTCACACACATCTCTGTGTTGATGCTGATTCCTCACACACATCTGTGTGTTGATGTTGTTTCCTCACACACATCTCTGTGTTGATGCTGATTCCTCACACACATCTCTGTGTTGATGTTGTTTCCTCACACACATCTGTGTGTTGATGTTGTTTCCTCACACACATCTGTGTGTTGATGCTGATTCCTCACACACATCTGTGTGTTGATGCTGATTCCTCACACACATCTGTGTTGATGCTGATTCCTCACACACATCTCTGTGTTGATGCTGATTCCTCACACACATCTGTGTGTTGATGCTGATTCCTCACACACATCTGTGTGTTGATGTTGTTTCCTCACACACATCTGTGTGTTGATGCTGATTCCTCACACACATCTGTGTGTTGATGCTGATTCCTCACACACATCTGTGTGTTGATGCTGATTCCTCACACACATCTGTGTTGATGCTGATTCCTCACACACATTTGTGTGTTGATGCTGATTCCTCACACACATCTGTGTGTTGATGTTGTTTCCTCACACACATCTGTGTGTTGATGCTGATTCCTCACACACATCTGTGTGTTGATGCTGATTCCTCACACACATCTGTGTGTTGATGCTGATTCCTCACACACATCTGTGTTGATGCTGATTCCTCACACACATCTCTGTGTTGATGCTGATTCCTCACACACATCTGTGTGTTGATGCTGATTCCTCACACACATCTGTGTGTTGATGCTGATTCCTCACACACATCTGTGTGTTGATGCTGATTCCTCACACACATCTGTGTGTTGATGCTGATTCCTCACACACATCTCTGTGTTGATGTTGTTTCCTCACACACATCTGTGTGTTGATGCTGATTCCTCACACACATCTGTGTGTTGATGCTGATTCCTCACACACATCTGTGTGTTGATGCTGATTCCTCACACACATCTGTGTGTTGATGCTGATTCCTCACACACATCTGTGTGTTGATGCTGATTCCTCACACACATCTGTGTGTTGATGCTGATTCCTCACACACATCTGTGTGTTGATGCTGATTCCTCACACACATCTGTGTGTTGATGCTGATTCCTCACACACATCTGTGTTGATGCTGATTCCTCACACACATCTCTGTGTTGATGCTGATTCCTCACACACATCTGTGTGTTGATGCTGATTCCTCACACACATCTGTGTGTTGATGTTGTTTCCTCACACACATCTCTGTGTTGATGCTGATTCCTCACACACATCTCTGTGTTGATGCTGATTCCTCACACACATCTGTGTGTTGATGCTGATTCCTCACACACATCTGTGTGTTGATGCTGATTCCTCACACACATCTGTGTGTTGATGCTGATTCCTCACACACATCTGTGTGTTGATGCTGATTCCTCACACACATCTGTGTGTTGATGCTGATTCCTCACACACATCTGTGTGTTGATGCTGATTCCTCACACACATCTGTGTTGATGCTGATTCCTCACACACATCTCTGTGTTGATGCTGATTCCTCACACACATCTGTGTGTTGATGCTGATTCCTCACACACATCTGTGTGTTGATGCTGATTCCTCACACACATCTGTGTGTTGATGCTGATTCCTCACACACATCTGTGTGTTGATGCTGATTCCTCACACACATCTGTGTGTTGATGCTGATTCCTCACACACATCTGTGTGTTGATGCTGATTCCTCACACACATCTCTGTGTTGATGCTGATTCCTCACACACATCTGTGTGTTGATGTTGTTTCCTCACACACATCTGTGTGTTGATGTTGTTTCCTCACACACATCTGTGTGTTGATGTTGTTTCCTCACACACATCTGTGTGTTGATGTTGTTTCCTCACACACATCTGTGTGTTGATGCTGATTCCTCACACACATCTCTGTGTTGATGCTGATTCCTCACACACATCTGTGTGTTGATGTTGTTTCCTCACACACATCTGTGTGTTGATGTTGTTTCCTCACACACATCTGTGTGTTGATGTTGTTTCCTCACACACATCTGTGTGTTGATGTTGTTTTCTCACACACATCTGTGTGTTGATGTTGTTTCTGTTTCTGATTGCTGGCTCAAGCTGTACCCGGTCCTGCCGGTGTCCCGTGACTCAGATGAAGAACGTGTGTGTATGTGTGTGTGTGAGAGAGGGAGTGTGTGTGTATGTGTGTGTGTGTGTGTCTCCTCTCTGTGTTCCTCTCCTCCGCTCGGCTCATCCATTATTAAAGCTCATCTGAGGCTGTTTACCTGTTTATGCGGAGAGAAACGTGTCTTATATAATCCAGGACTTCAGGGACGTTCAGGCGCTCTATTCTGAGCTCCATAAACCATAAACATAAACCATAAACACCTTCAGTCCTGGTTCCGGCTTCATCTGTTCGGGTTTGATGCTGCGATCGGGATTTGTGTCAGATAAATCTAACTTTTTGAAATGGAACTTTATTGAACCTTTAGACAAAAAGGTTTGCATGTGTGTTTATGTTTTGCATCATATTTGATACACATCAGGCTTTTATGACTCATATAGTCTGATATAGTGAGAATATTGAGGATAAACCGATTCAGAGCAAACACATTCTGCAGATGCTGATAGTAGTTCACTAGTAAGTGTGTGAGATGCTAATGCAGAGTTGAGCAACATGTCAATCATAGAAACATCACATGTGAGTTCAGGCAGAACGATCATTTCTTCTGTAACTGAGGTCAGTATTAACATGTGTGTGTGTTTGGTCTCATATGTGTGTGTGTGTGTGAGATCTCACAGAGAGGATTGTGTGGATAAATGATGTCATCAGGATCGGATCTATCCCGCATTGCAGAGTTGAAGTCTGAGTGTGTGTTTGCTGAAGGCTTCTCTGAGGTAAACGTGCCGTTATCTCCCGCTGTCTCGACGGCTGAAACACGGATCGGTGGATTACAGGAGA